TTCATTCAAGTAAGAAATACATAGAAGATGTCTTTGCCATGCTGATAAGATGGTGCAAGAAAGTGCTGATGAAATGACTATTTGTGGTAAAGCACTGGAAACAAGAATCAATGCAGTTATGTAGAGTTCTTTTTGAAGATTGAATTGTTGTTTGAGAATGAGAAAAAATCCGTTGCCATCCATCTTCAAACGCGAACGACTACGAGCAGTGAAAACAATCAAAATTGTAATTGAACTGATTTGAATACAGAATGGAATGAGATGCTGCAGAAGAACATTGACAAAATTGTATGACCACACCGAAGAAGGGAAGTTTTCGATACATAAAACTTGTTCATTGATATCTTGAGTGACATTGTAGAAGAGCAGTTCATGAATATTCATGGCAGTAAGAACGATGAGACTGATGAACATAATCAATTTAGCTGATCGAGGTTTTCGTAAACGATCATTAAAAGGAAAAATCACGAATGATAGTCGTTCGAGAGTAATCCAAGTAGTCAACCAATAGGTGTATTGAGTTGAACTAGTTGAAATGAAAGAAATTGTTTTACATGAAGCGACACTCATCAATGAATTGAAGAGAATAGTCATCGTTTTGAGAAGAAGAGAGAAGAGCGAAGATTGATTGAAGATCGATAAGATCAACAAGTAATAACCCACACCGAGCTTGCGTGGCGTCGATCGTTGAAATGTGATAAAACTACCATAGTTCGTCACTGTGCCAACTAAAAGCAACACAGCGCTGATAATAAAATAGATAGATTTCACACTCGAAGAATCATCGCCAATCAACGAATCCAAAGTGAAACTCAGTTGTTGAGCACTAAATTCGCATCGTCGACCGGAATAACATTGAGAACAAAGACATCGAAAATCTCCTCTCTTCAATGGATCTCCTCTCACACATCGACCACCATTCAAACACTCAGAACACCGATCAAGAGAATGATCATATCCGAAACATTCTGCTCGACTTCGATTCATAGAACAAACACACAAGTACCAGTGATCATGAAAACATAAGAAACTATTATTCTGTTGACAGAGATAATGATATTGGATTGGAGAAATCTCTAAAGATAACCATAGTATCATCTGTGTGTGTCTGCTTTATTATGAAAATACCTGTCTGATTTATCAGCAATGTACTGACATGCGGACAATGAGTTCTCTCACTCACTTCTGTTGTTCCATTGATTGATTCGACCTCGATTTGCAGTGAGATGAGATAGGTATCGATCAGAGTGTTCGAGTAGAGTTTGACAAAAATTACGGCTGGTGCTTTTTTTGTTTGCTCGTGCAGGTAGAAAAGGATTTGTGGAACAGAATCGTACAGATGTTGATGGACAAAATTCAGATCGAGAGTGAAGAAGTTGATGTCGAAGTATTGAACGAGAGCCACTCGATCATGCACACTCCGATCGATCCGAAGATGAACTGCATGTTTTTTCAGTTGACAATCATTTCCATAGTACTTTTCTGTACATAAACAGAAATAATTGGTCACTTCTGGTGTTGGCAAGCAGGTGCCACCGTTGAGACAAGGATTTGAACCACATAAATCATAGTTCAACTGACATCGATCTCCTAGTCGATTCAATGGGCACAGACAATAAGGCACTCGTCCATTACCATTGACTAAGCGCCGATAGTTGGATTTACACAGAGCATTGGATCCACAAAAACCATCTTGACATAGTTTATCCTCGATCGAGCATTCTTTCCCACTAAAGTTTGCTTGACAAAGACAAATGAAGCGTGATGGTTCGTTGAGGAGTCGATGACATTTTTGATGATTGTTACATGGATTACTCAAGCAAGGATCTAGACTATCATCTAGTTTAGTCAGACGAAGAACTTTAACCAATCGAGAATTTGGAAGAAAATCGAAATAGATTGGATATCGCCAGACACCTATCAGTCGAGGTTTCTCCCTCATCTGAAGTTCATAAGCTTCGATGGCAACTGAATATGGATGATGATTGATAATACTTGATCGGTTGAAGTATCGAGTTCGCTTCTGCATCAATGAATTATTTGATCGAGAGTATAACAGATGATGAATTGTCTTCTTGATCGAAGTCATTTCAGTAGATGGTCGAACATGAAATGATTCAATCATTACTGATTCATTTTCGTGTAGAAGAATAATCAAGACTTTGAGAAGTGTTATTGGATTAGTAGATTCTTCATAGATCTGTTGTGAGAGGTTGAGATGAACAAGAACAGTCAATCGATCACTGTGATATTGACATTTATCTCCATAGTATTGTGGTGAACAGAAACAAACAATCGATCCATTGAAGAATAGAACACCAACACCACGATTACACCAGAAGGGAACTGATGAAGGATAGTCTTCTAATCGATAGTGGTTGGTGATGAAGCGATTTGGTGAGACTGTGATGTTTACTGACGGTATTTGTGTTGTGTCCATGTTCCAGAGAATCATAGGCAAACCAAGTACCTTCTGTTTCTTTTCTAGTGAAAGCTTTTTGCCCACTCGATAATTTTCATGTTCTCTAAAGTTGTAAGTGTTTTGTGGAATTTTACACAGATGCTCATCCTCTCCATGTAAACAGTCAGCTCGCAGATTACACCATCCTCCTTTTGCACATATACCATTCAAACACATGAAATCGGATGAAGATGAGCAGTCAGAACTCTTGTTGAAACCATGACACTGAATACGACTATCAGTACACTGAAGTCCGCAATGAGCATCATATCGCACACACTGGTTGTCATTTGAACATTGAAAATAGTATCCGAGCATTGAAGATTTAGTGCAATGCTGTCGAATATTCCGTTCATCAAGAGCTCCAACACAATCAACATAGCCGTCACCAATCTGCGTTAGATTGATACAAGGCCGATACTGAGTAATATTCAATGGATCCAATGCATCGGCTCGATAACATGGATATTCACTGCTCAGATCACAAATATCACCAAATGGTCTAGTTCTATACCTGCCATTGTAATGTTCACGTAGCATAGTCTCATGTTTTAGTTTCAAGTTCCGCATGGAGAAAGCATTGCGCGAGAAGAAAATAGCCTGCTCATCTGATGCATCTGGACAATCCCATTCTCCATCTAAAACCCATTCAGATTTAATACACTGCCCTGTATAGCATCGCCATTGCTCTTGTTTACATTGCCAATGTCTTTGACACATTTCAATATTCTCATCTTGTCTCGAGTCCATCTGCCAGAATGTATCACAAAACCAACTAAAAGGAATTTTGTCAAAAGTCGTTTGTCTAGGAGAGCTTTCGAAGTTAGTGTCTATCTTCGAAGATCTCTCGATATATTGACGAATCAACTGGCAATCATCCTTCGATTTCTTGCTACAAGCAAAACTCGCCAACTTTCTTCCTTGTCCCATCCATATATCATCGTATGAGTTTAAGCATTGGTCACCAGAATTTCCTAGGGTAATAACAGAAAGGCACGACGGTTGTTCATTCGAACATCGAAAGCGATGATTTTGCACATTCTCACAGGACTTCCACACTAAATCAATCTGCGCTCCATATGCATTTTGTTTCTACATTCCCACTCAAAATTGGGTTTTGTCGGGACCGAGCTCATTCTACTTAGTGAATGCAACTATCAAATGTCGAGGATACATGGCTGAAAGACTCATACTGAGAATATTTGATTTAAATGACATTCTTAGCGCAGAATACATTATTTGTTCGAAGGCATTTTCTTCTTCTTCTCCTTTGATTCGGCATATTGGTCATGATCAATTCTGCCATAATGACTCTCTCACCTTTAGCAATCGCTCCTATCACTGCCTCGCTGTGTGCCACACATGCACCGCATGCATGTCGGCCTCTCTCATTAAGCATGCATGTTCAAAGTGTGTAGGCGCATCTGCAGAGCGTCCGAGTGATGTCGTATAG